ATTACTGGGCCCGTTCGAGCAAATTGATGAACAACAGGAGGACAGTGGACAGTGACATTGTTTTCTGAGAAAGTCATTACTTGAGTGATTTATACTCCTACACCAGAAGGATGTCATCACAGTCAAGTGACCTTCGGGTTGGGGAAACAGGCCTGTACACCTTTCCTGGGCCATCTCCACTTTCCCGATGTTTCTTTCTCACACAGTCTGACACACAGACAGAACACACAAGGGGACCAGTGGGTCCCCCAAACACCCCCTCCTGCACCCATTCTTTCTTCTCCCTGCTTCCCTTACTTGGAATGTACAACATCAGCAGACCCAGAAACTGAGCAGGGAACCTCATTTTGAGCGTTGATCTGAGGAGATCTGATAGCTGAAAGCAAGATAGAGCTGACTCTTATGCGAGACTGTCCAATATAGATCTTCCCCCGAGGACAGCATGCAAATACACTGGTGGGTGCACTGGTATGAAAAGACCTCGAGGATGGAGTCACTTCTCTTGAGCAAAGTGGGAAATGTGGCTCCTAGTTCATGAAAAATAGTGGAAACATAAACTTAGCCTGGATTATAGTGGTTAAGATGGACATTTCTTAGTCTAACTGTCTGTGGCACAGATGTGTGTCAATCCTTCTTTTGTTCTGTTTTATGGTTTGTTTCCTTGTTTGGGGACCACATCCAGCAATACTCAGTGTTACTCTTGGCTCTTCACTCAGTCACTACTCCTAGTAGTACTTGGGGGATCCTATGGGATGTTGCATGCAAGGCAATCACCTTAAACACTGCATATCACTGTGGGCCCCTCACTGTGTCTCTCAAATCAAAAATTAGTATATTTCTGATTTATCAGGTGCTCTAGCCAGGTAAATAGGTGTGTCTAGGTCAACCTCAGTCAAGCATTTGAGAGAAATATCTTTGTTCCAAATCTCCCATGTGATAATCACCTGATTCTGATGTGCAGTCTCAACTTCTCTCTCTCTCTCTCTCTCTCTCTCTCTCTCTCTCTCTCTCTCTCTCTCTCTCTTTTCTTTTCTTTTTTTTTTTTTTGCTTTTGTTTTGGTCACACCTGGTGATGCTCAGGGCTGATTCCTGGATCTTCCCTCAGTAATCACTCCTGGTGGTGCTCAAAGGACCATATGGGATGCCAGGACTTGAACCCAGATCAGTTATCTGCAAGGAAAATGTCCTACCCGCTAGACCTAGGTCTAGCCCTAGGTCTCAACATTTAGAATGAGTGAAGTTCATGCCCAAATCAATCAGCTAATCAGTGGCTGAATACATAGCATTACTCCTACATTAAAAAAAAAATTAGAATGAACATGGGAGAGTCAAATTTCACTGTTTCTATTGCAATCTGGCTAATAGTTTCACATTGTAATAATCAAGAATTTGGAATTGTTTTCCCCTGGGGACTAATGAATTGAATTCGTGGTAACACATATGCTCAAGTGTGTAAACACAAAAGGAGAGCAGAGGTCTGTCTCTCCTGCCTCCCTCTTTCGTTAGTCTCGCCTGCTTTCGGTAGTCTCGGGCCATTTCCCCCACTCCAGGGAGGTCGATGGTGAAGGCCAGGCTGGTTGGTCTTAGTTGCAGTTTATTCCAATCTTCTTTCCATTCACTACTGTCTCTCCTATGCCTCTCCCAGCCCATTATTATAGTCTCATTATATCCCATAAAAGAAATTTATGTCATGGAGGGCCCAGGTTCTCTCAGACCTATCACCCCCAGGTTCTCTCAAGTCTGTGTTCCCGGTAGAGAGCCCAGAAATCTCCTTTTATTGATCATCGTAACTCTATGGGCTGGAGCGATAGCACAGCTGTAGGGCTTTGCCTTGCACGCAACCAGCCCGGCTTAGCTGGGTTCGATTCCTCCGCCCCTCTTGGAGAGCCCGGCAAGCTACCGAGAGTATTGCCGGCATGGCAAAACCTGGCAAGCTCCCCGTGACATATTGCTATGTCAAACACAGTAACAAGAAGTCTCAAAATGGAGATGTTACTGGGCCCACTTGAGCAAAATTGATGAACAATGGGAGGACAGTGACACTGGTACCTCTAAAGGGCGCAATGCAGTGATGTCATCAAAAGGACTTACAGAAAAAAACATTGAGGTAGCAAAACATACATTATTTCTTTGCATCAGCAGGCCAGTAATTTTAGCCTCTGGAAAGAAGATACAAAATCAAGACTGAAACCATTCTTAGACTACTAGCACTTGGATTTGCACCCCAAAGACTAGTCTGCTGGGGCTTGGAATCTACATCCGAAAGACAAGTATCTAAGCTTTGCATCCCAAAGACTAGTTTGGCTAGATCCTGGAATCTACATCCCAAAGATCAGGCTTGGCTAGCACCAGAGATCTACATGTCTATGACCAGCTAGCTTTCTGTGAGAAAAGGAAAACTGCCCCTTACAACATACTAAAATTATTTACTGAAGGCCGTTTGAAGGGAACGATATTCAGCCTCTTCCAAACTAGTCAGGACACAAGAAAAATCTCTCCCATTTTCATGGGTCCTTGTGTTCCTGCCCGTTGTGCGGTGCAGTCTACATGGGCTCACCCTGCCAAATTAGTCCAGCCCCAACAGGTTGGGTTAAAAATTACACATAGGTTTGATCACAATTAATAGGGGTAGAGTTCTTCCTCTCCTGGAAAGTTGCTTCTAGTCTAGGACAGATTCTCATTTAACAGAACGATCCACCCTAGAACGGAATCCCCTGGGTGTGTTACTCCTCTCCTTGTCCAACAAACATATAAGCATATATAATATGAATAATTTTGTATGAACACAGTAAGAAATACTTAAAGTTTATAGAATTGCTCTCCTAGGGCCATCTCTATCTGAGACTACAGTGCTCAGGCCAAATAGCTTTTCCTATTCTTAGCAGGGTCCTAGTCTCGTCATTACTTTTCGATCATGACAACATTTGTCTATGATCAAACTCTGAACTTATAGTTACGAATCATGGCACTTTGGCCTGGCACATCTTGATGCCAGGGTAGCACATAGCTTGCCCGCTTGCCCTGGTTCCACCCAGTCCCTCATCGGAACCCTGCCTTTGGGGGCACTAGGAAGTGAAGGCAACTGAGACTTAAGTTGAGAAAGCAGATGCCCAGGAGTGAATAATATTCAAAGCCAATTAAATCCTAAGTTATGTTAGGGCGTGGATCAAAATCTCCCTCTAACGAGAAAGAGACTCCAAAGAGTGCAAACAGCAAACAGGGTTTACTGTAAGACTGGCTAGCCAGGGTCCAACCGCCTACACAGACATGCAGGTCCGGCAGTTTGGGTAAAGACCCCGAGCTTCTTCAAAGGAGATCTAATATAGGCCCTCCTTGGCCGTTACAGCACAGCCCACACATTTCATGGCCAATAGATTTGTAATAACCCATACTTTCCTGACCAATCCATTTTAAAGTACATCACTCTTTAGCCTTTAGTTTAAAGATCAGCATTTGCGTCAATGCTTAGGAACGTCTTGGTTTTTAGGGCAGTCCTGGGTCTTGTGACATAGGTCTTCTGAGAGACTTCTGGTTATCTGGTCTGACCCCACCCTTCTCGTGACTTGCAATTCAAGGCACCTGCATCCTTGCTCAGGAGCAGAAAAGCAAGTTATTTTGCAATGTGGGTTCCTCTGAAGCTAACCTAAATTAATTCTGGTGGTCCATTTTGGGTCTGTCCCTCACAATGTGCTGCTTGCACCCACGTGACCAAGCACATGTGTTGCCTGAGCACATGTGACTCCTGCATCTACCCTCTGGAGATTTGTACTTTCATTCTTTCATGTCAAATGCTGGGATGTGTGTAATTTTCTCTCTGCCCTTAGTGAAGCCCAGGTTCTCTCTTGAGCACAATATTTTCAACTCTCTCTCTCACTTTCTCTTCCTCCTTCACTTCAAAACCTCCAAAGAAAATCTGTTTTACTTCACTGCTTGCCTACTCCTGACATTCTTTTCTGTGACGCAAGACCGATCCCAGTAACCCTGGGTTCCGGGTAGCAGAGGCAGATTGAGAGAAAGTGAACATCATTCTCCTCCACATTTCATGTGAGTCACCGTGGGTCCCACCAGCATCACTAGGGATTCTATCCAAGGAAAATCAGTATTGTTAGATAAATGGTGGACTTTTGGGCTATAAGAATGGGAAAATATAATCAATAAGGTGGAGTCTCCTAAGGCAACAATGATTTCCTTAGATTTACATTCCCTCTGAGAGTGTCAAGGCCTGACCATGTAGGGAAGGTCAGGCACCGTGATCCAGGGAATCTCCCACAGGCCTCAGTATAAGCCTTTGGGCTAAGTACAGGGTGTTGATATTTTCTTTTTCTATATTTCCTCTTACTTGCCTGAATCCTCTCCACCCTCACCCACCTTGACATGAGGTTTATACCTCTTTACAACTTCAAAGGTATCTAGGATAGTATAACACAGTTCCTGTGACTGAAATTGTTTTATTTCCCATTCAGATTTCAGGATCAAAATCCCCAAGGGAGTAGATATCATCCCTCCACAGCCCCGATTCAACACACACCACAGGATTGTGAGGGTATGTTCCCTCATGAGACTCAGTCTCTTCCTCTGGTCCACGTCAAACAGGGCATCCTGGCATGGGAGGATGCACCCTGTGAGACGTCCTCAGTGTGAGGCTATGGTGTGCTCATGTGTCCTCAAAACTGGGGTAGAAATATATGTGATTATTAAAAATGTATTTTAAAGAATGGTTTCTAGGCCTCCTAGATGACCAGGACAGTACATAGGAACTTTGAATGACACTGTCACCTACTTACTTCAGGAAAATAATCTCTATAAATTCAATCAGCAAGTCTGTTGTCATGTATGAGCTGCTGGAATGACAAGGAGAGCACGGAGCCAGATGTTCCCTCAACATGTACCAGAACTGCCCATCATTGCAAAGCCTGGCTACATCTGACACACCCTCAGCAGTGGCAGCACCAAAAGTAGCAGCTGGGTCCCCCAGTTTCACACAACTGATCTTTGGAGGTTTATGTTCTGGCCTGTATCACTGTGGGAGGTGTACTACTACCCTGTTGACAGTAATAAGTGGCAAGATCATCCAGCTCCAGGCTGCTGATGGTGAGAGTGAAATCTGTTCCAAATCCACTGCCACTGAACCGGGAAGGGACGCCTTGTTCTAAACTTGTTGCACCATAGATCAGGAGCCTGGGAGCTTTCCCTGGTTTCTGCTGATACCAGTGTAAATAATTGCTAATGCTCTGACTGGCCTTGCAGGTGATGGTGACTTTCTTTCCCAGAGATGCAGGCATGGATGAAGGCTGGCTCATCTGGATATCACACATGGTGCCTGAGATAAAAAATATAAGTGCACATTATCATTACCCACAAGTTAGGTAATTTCCCTGAAGAGACAGGCAGTCCAAATTCATGAAAACCCACATTTCCCTCCTTACCTGGGAGCCAGAGCAGCAGGAAGCTGAGGAGCTGCACAGGGGCCGTCATGTCCACTGTGCGTGTGACAGACACTGACCCTGCAGGGTGACACAGACTATTATTGAGTGTGCAGGCATGAGCTCTGAGGACTTGCAAATGAGAAGGGGCCGGGCAGGCTGGGTAGGCAGAGGGGGGAGGGTGCGTGTGGGGACCAGCCCAGCTGCTGGAAAGTCAGGGGTGCAGGTCCCTGTGGGGAAGCAGAATTTTGCCCACAGAGAACATGCTCCTGCCCAGGCCCCAGGAGAGCCCGAGTTTGAGCACAGAAAGGCGGGCCCTGGTGTCCTGAGAGTTAGGACAGGGTTTCTTGCTCTCACTTACCCAGAGACTGGCTGTGTCAGACCACACACTGTCAGACACACTGACCCTCTCAAAGAATTGTACAGACTCCTTTATTTCACAGCTCTGGATATACTTAAGACAAGAGATTTTCTTTTTTATCTGGAAGACATACATATATATACATATATATACATATATATCAATATACACACACATATATATCAGTGCTTTGGAAGGACTTAAAATTTTATATTTTTAATTTTCTTTTTCTGGGTGGTGGGGACTCTCTTTCAGTGCTCAGAGAACCCGACAGTCAGCACCTGACAAAACAAACCAGACTCTCACGAAACACTAGCCCAGGCAGACATACCCCTGCTGAAGTACTGAGTATCCTGGGAGGGTCTGGAATGTTTGCCAGGAAGCTGCAGGTCCCAGGGGAGGCCTGCAGTGATCATGGAGTCTAGAGGAGACGGCTTTCTCTCCAGTCATCAGCCTGTGACTGGGACACCCCCAAATTCTTTTTTGAGCCAGGAGCAGCTCCCAGGGCTACCCATCTGCAGGGCCCAGGAAAAGACCCTCCAGGCCATTTGCTGCTTCACACTTGACTTGAGAAGGAGAGATCTCCCCACCTGTCACCATGGCTCTTCTTGTAGCAGGATCTTGTTCCAAATGGATCTCTTTGCCCCTCTGAGGGAGTTTGTAACCAATCCCTATATTATCAATTGCTCCCTTCACCACACTTACCAACAAAAACCCTGTCAGGGATTCATGGAAACGGGTCAGTACTTGGAGTCAGGAATGGGCAGCATGTACAAAATATCTGGGCTTGAACTCTGAAGCCACCACAGCCTGTGTTATGCAGGATGATCTGGGATTAGTGAGTTCAAAGCAGAATTTCTTAAAACCCACATATTCAGGCTCCATCACGGGTCTGAGGAGATAGGATGGTGCTGTGTTTGGGAGAGATTGGGAGAAGAGATAGTGAGATTTCAGAGCAATCCACCTCTCATGTTTCCATCAGTCAAAACCAAGTCCACATATGTTTCAAAACAGGTTATGAGGGTGTAGGTTGAGTGTCCCACAGGAGGGGGGGGTCTATGACCCTGGAGCACTTTCCTGGTGATGATGAGAGAGCCATGTGTGTGTCTGTACTCATTATCCCAATCCTGACAGAGCAGCAGGGTAGAATGTAATGAAAAGTAACCTAGGAACAATCACTCATTTTGTCTATGTGTCTGAGATTGTGTAGAACATCTTGACCAGTGCTGCGGTGGGTATTGACCACTCTAGGTAATTCTTGGCCAATTGAACCAAACAGTTCAGTGCTAAGAGTTGAGCTCCTGGAGGTGATTGTGGCTAATTACACCAATGACATCCAGGCAACCCCCCGTGCCTCTGTTCCAAGGTCAGCCAGGTAGTTCTAGAGACCTCAAGGAATGCCCCCATTGATACCAAGGGAAATTGAGCTTCCAGGGTTTTTCTGGATGGATTGAAGGCATAGCCCTCAACCCATGAACATTCTCTGCAGCCCTGGCTTAGGCTGATCTCCAGATGAGATGCTCCTCACACTGTGTGTCCCTGAAGTGACAGGGACCTTCTCCTTGAAACAGACAGGGAGGCTGGAGAAGGGCACAGTGTCCTCACTGGCATCTTAGTGGACTAGAAAACAGGACAATCCATATATTAACACCTGGATATAAATTCATTCATTCTGTGGCATTTTCTGATCAGAAAATAAAAGTGCCAACAAATTCATCTCCAAGTCAACGTTGGACATTTAGCCTTTAGATCCCAATTGAATCTTGAGGCCTTTTCCCTCAGAAATTAGAGCATCAAAGGGGTGAAGACAAAGAGAATGGCAAAGTCCTCCACCACTTCCATGAAGCCCTCAAGAGGCTGACCCGGCTCAGAGGGTGCCTGGGTATAAAGAATCAGCTCATGCTCCCTCCCAGTAACCCAAGGCTGGGACCTCACACCACACACCCTGGATTCTCACACTCGTGGAGGATGGAGCTGAAGCTCAAAGTTCCTCAGGGTCACTTCCTTGAACCCTCCTCCTGTGAGCAGGAGCCCCTCCCTCCCCTTGTCCCCACAGACCTCTCCTGGGTGTCTGGACACAAAGTGGGATCCCTGATGTGTCTATACTCCCACCTGTGCCCTCCTGTGACCTCATTGTGCCTGAAGTGACTCTACAGCTCTATCTCCCATTTTGAAACTGGTTGGGGCATTAAAGCAGTCCATTGAAGACAAGCAGGACAGGACTTCTATCTCCAAAACAGAAAACGGTGAAAATCTCACCCCAACTCAGACTCAAAAGGTTTCATACTTTCCCACTATGCAACAGAGCCCCTGTCCCAGCATACCACAGGCCTGTGACTCTCAGTAGTTCTCAAATCCAGGGAGACTCTCCTCACTTCTGGGGTCAGTCTGTCATCTGGTGACCTCTGTGTAATACAGCAACTTAATAGACTTCAGGTGCTGGTGACCGCTGTGCTGTTAGAAGATTCAGCCAGACTTTCTTTTTGTCTTTGGAACAGAGACTATAAAGTCAGAACACAAGTCAGATTGCGTGAAAATGTACTTTGTAAATCCAGTCGAATTGTCAGCTTCAAACTCTATGCATTGGAGTCAGTCACAGAGAATGAGACAGACACACAATGAGACCAACAAACGCACATAGAAAGACTCTCCAAGATTTAGAGCGGCCTGAGCAGCAACATTGAGATCTCAGGAAACCATTTATTCAATGTAATGTCACTCCCTCCAAACTGGGTCACAACAGGTGAATCACTGTTAAAGTTGGCAGGGAAATTAGGACAGGGAGTGAGCACATCCACTTTCAGATGCATGCATGAGGAGCAGAGGCTGGGGTGTCTCAGAGGCAATCAGGAGGCACCCTAAAGTACAACGTCTGGGCACTTTCTGATTATATTCTTGCCTCCTATACCCTCTATATCTATAAGACCAAAGCTTTTATTTTAGCCTTTTATCTGTGTATTTGTTTCTTTTGTCTACAGTTTTGCGTGCCTGATTATGCACTCTCTGTCCCAAATGGTTTTTTCCACGGATTATCAGGAACTTGGTGTTTGTGACAAGGGGAAAATTTCCAGCAAGACCATGTAGGAACAAAGTGGTTCATATTCCTAAGAAATTGGTCAACTAGTTGAGGAGAAATAATGACCAGGTAACCAGAGTAGAGAGGAGACGTTCATCACAGTTAGGTAAGTGGAGGTGCTATGATCCCAAGAAATGTGATGGATGTTACTTTGGAAAATGGAGGCGGTTCCAATGATGAAGAGAAGCCTCTAAGAATCATGGTAAAGGTGGGGGTGGGATGGCCAAGAGCAGAGGGCTCCTGGCTCCTCTCTAGTGTGTATAGTCCAGCCTCATTCCTCCTCCGGGATAACCCAAGCCATCTCTGATGCACCACTGCATGCAACATTTAGAAGGGTTCATGTCATTCTCTCTAGACCAAGACGCATAAGGATTTTTTCCATGAGTTTATGAGAGACCCAAAGTAACTATCCAGCCACTGTTTACCCATAATGCTTCCTTGGTGTGTTAGGATTCAAACCCAGGGCCCCAAACATGGGAAACATGTTTTCTGTGTCAGTTATATGCCTGGATGTAGAACTATTTTGATCTTAAGAATTGCTCATGTTTTTCCAATATTTGACTGTCTCTGTTTTAGTTATAGAGGAGAGATATAAAATACAGCTAGTGCAGCTCCGTAGATGTTTTTTACATTTGAGTTCAGTATAATATAAGACTTTTACCATGCCTCTGATGCAGCCATATATTATACTATACACTATTCAATACTGTTACAAACTATTTCCAGTCTAAACATGTGCTTTTAGCAAACAATAAACAACACCCAGACACCCAGACTGTTCATTGCTAATCATAGACTCTGCCCAGGTTCTTGCCACCTCTGGGAACTGTCAGAGACTGATGTGGATAAATCACTCGGTGTGTAGTTGTGACCTGCCCTAGTGAAAGTTATTTTCAGTTCAGATATAGAGACCCTCTGTACTAGGGCCATGGGAAAAAAGAAGCTCTGGCTTGCTTGAGATCCGCAAATTGCATTGAATTACAGATCAGAGAATCCACACACTCCAGGCTCCATCGGGGAGGAGAAGGAGATGCTGTGGGACTTGTGTAAATGAGAGGGTAGGGATGGAGAGGAGAAGAGAGAGTCAGCATTCAGAGCTGTCCCTCTGTCATGTTGCTAGACCCTAAAGCAATTATAGAAGTCTTGCAATAACTGTCCAAACTCCAACAGAGCACTAGAATGGAACGTAAGCAGAGAACAGATTCCTATTCTGTTAATTTAATTTTTGGGTGCATGGATGTGATGCAAATCTGCTGCTTAGTGCTGGATGAGTGTATTGGTCCCTCTAGGCAATTCTTGGCCAAGTTGAGCCAAGCAATTCAGTGTAAGATATGAGGATTTGCAGCTTTTGGAGGCTTTTGATGTTGGGGACAACCACGACACCCCCCATGCATGTGTCTACCAAGGTCAGCCTGGTGGTACTTAGATGCCCCACAGAAAAGTTGGGGAAACTGTGGTGTCAGGGATCACCTGGTTGGATTGAAGTGTAAACCACAATCCCTGTACTTTCTCTCCTCAGTCTCTTGAGCTGATCTCACGGTGAGATGCTCCTATCACTCTGTGTAGCCCTGAAGGTGACAGGGACCCTCCCCTGGGAAGCAATCAGGGAGGCTGGAGGGGGACACACAGTGTACTTACTGACATCTAGTGGACAAGGAAACAGGACAACCCATACATTAATACATGGAAATTAGTTCACTCTGTCTGATGCATTTTCTCTGGGGGTTTATGTTCTGGCCTGTATCACTGTGGGAGGGTCATTCCAACTTTGTTGACAGTAATAAGTGGCAGCACCCTCAGGCTCCAGACTGCTGATGGTGAGCATGAAATCTGTCCCAGATCCACTGCCACTGAACCGGAGAGGGACATCTGGTCCTAAAACAGTTGCTGCATAGATGAGGAGCATGGGAGCTTTCCCTGGTTTCTGCTGATACCAGGCTAAGTAACTGCTAACGCTCTGACTGGCCTTGCAGGTGATGGTGACTTTCTCTCCCAGAGATGCAGACATGGATGGAGGCTGGGTCATCTGGATATCACACCAGGAGCCTGGCGATTAAAATATAAACACACATCATCACCACCGTTCATATTACTTTAAATTATTTTCCCTGAAGCACGGATAGCATTTAGTCAATTATCCTCCTCACCCGGAAGCCAGAGCAGCAGGAAGCTGAGGAGCTGCACAGGAGCCCTCATGTCCACTCTGGGTGTCACAGACACTGACCCTGCAGGGTGACACAGACTATAATTGAGTGTCCAGGAATGAGCTCTGAGGACTTGCAAATGAGAGGGGGCTGGGCAGGCAGAGGGGGGAGGGTATGTGGGGACCAGCCAAGCTGCAGGGAAGTTAGGGGTGCGGGTCTCTGTGGGGAAGCAGAACTTTGCCCACAGAGAACATGCTCCTCCCCGGGCCCCAAGATAGTCCCCGTGTGACCATAAAGGGTGGCCACGGTCCTCTGTGTTAGCAAAGCTTCTTGCTCTGCCCCAGAGACAGGCTTGATCAGAACACACCATTATAGACTTCCTCAGGAATTGTACACATTTCTTTGATTTCTCGTCTGTGGATACAATTGAGGCAAGGGAAGTTTTCGCTTTGCTTCGGAATTGCATTATGTTTTACTGCACTTTGTACAGGATTAAAATTTTCTGTTTTCCTATTTGATGGGCGGGTGGGGGAGGGTCTCTGTCAGTGCTCTGAGAAACTAAAAGTCACTCTGAACATCAGGAAGTCATCGGGATGAGCAGTTCAATGATGGGGACAGAGGACGCAAGGCTACTGTGATGCTGCAATGCTGGAAATTTCAGGCCTTTATCTGCAGGTGCTCTGGGCTGTGTGGGCCCTGTGCTCACATGTGGACTCCAGCTCATGCCTCCTGATAGGTCAGTCTTCCTCATTAAGCACTGTATTATTTTGTGTGAAAAATTGTTATTATTAGCATACAGGAATTCAATGAATGGAAAGGATTGTACAAATATTTGGGGTCTTGAGTCATAAATTAGTGCTAAGATAAAGAATATCTGACAGACCAACGCGTTCTCCTGCTCATTGCTCCATCCTTCACCTGAGAAGTTATTCATTACTTCCACATCGGCTAAATAAAAATTTTCCTTTCTCATCTTGAAAACCTTATTCCCGATTTCTTGACTCAGAACTGAAAATTCCTAGACCTCCTTGAATTGTCTTCCTATCTTTTATCCCCTTCCTCTGAGCTGGCCAGTTGAGAATGTGTTACGATGCGGTGGCTAAGTGGGTCCAACATGACTGACACATTATTGAATATCCTCTGTCTCATCACAGGTGCATCCCTTGCTCGAAATCCTGATGTTGCTCCAAAGACACAGCAGCTCTCAGACACCAGATGAAAGACTTAATGTCTTGAGAAGATTGAGGAACAGTGACTGACACCTCCTCATAGCATAAGGGATTCACAGACACTAAACAACCACCCTTATGAGGTGCCTGGTGAGGCAGTCAGCATGGGGTAAAGATAGGACTCACACAAGAAGTATCAGTCTGGGCTCAGACAGAGATCCATGCTGCATAAGTCAGCATCCAGGTTCCTAAGGGTGCCGTCCCACCGCCCCATCAACATCACTGTTCTTTCATTGTAGAGGCTGTCCCCGGAACTGCAAACCCAACTCTCCCTGTACACTCCTATGGTCTCCCCATTACTGAATTCAGCACCCAAAAGACCAAACCAGACCCTCACAAACCACTAGCCCAGCACAACATATAGATGTTGAAGTACTGAGTATCCTGGGGAGGACCTGGAAGGTTTCCCAGGAAGACAGGGGAGCCCTGCAGTGATCATGGAGTGTAGAGGAGAGGTTTTGCTCTCTAGTATTCAGCCTGTGACTGGGGCCACCCCGAGTTCTTCTGCAGACAGGAGCAGCTCTCGGGGCTCCCCTTATGCAGGGCCCAGGACAGGATCCTCCAGGGACATTTGCTGCCTCACAACCGACTGAGCAGGAGACATTTCCCCACCCTGACTCCATTGCTCTTCATGGAGCAGGATCCTGCCCCCTGTGGGCCTCATCTGCCCTCTTGAGGGAGCTTCACACCAATCCCTACTTAGTTACTGCTTGGTGCAACAAACTTACCAAAAAGGACTCTACACATGGATTCATGGTGATAGGTCACAACTTTGGGATCAGCAATGGGCCGGAGGTAAGAGAAACCTGGGCCCCAACCATAGCCGTTGTGACTCAGGATGACCTGGGTCTGTGAGCTCTGAACAGCAGATCAGAAAATCCACACACTCCAGGCTCCATCAGGGAGGAGAAGGAGATGCTGTGGGACTTGTGCAAAGGAGAGGGAATGGATGGAGAGGAGAAGAGAGTGAGGTTTCAGAGCTGTCCCCCTGTCATATTGCTAGACACTAAAGCAATTATAGAAGTCTTGCAATCACTGTCCAAACTCCAACAGAGCACAAGGATGGAATGTTAGCAGAGAACAGATTCCAATTTTTTTACTTGATCTTTGGGTGCATGGATGTGATGCAAATCTGCTGCTTAGTGCTGGGTGAGTGTATTGGTCCCTCTATGCAATTCTTGGCCAAGCTGAGCCAAGAAATTCAGTTTAAGATATGAGGAGTTGCAGATTTTGGGGGCTTTTGATGCTGGGGACAACCACGATACCCCCCGTGTGTCTACCAAGGTCAGCCTGGTGGTACTTAGATGCCCCACAGAAAACTTGGGAAAACTGTGGTGTCAGGGATCACCTGGTTGGATTGAGGCGTAAACCACAAGCCCTGTACTTTCTCTCCTCAGTGTCTTGGGCGGATCTCACTGTGAGATGATCCTATCACTCTGTGTAGCCCTGAATGTGACAGGGACCCTCCCCTGGGAAGCAGTCAGGGAGGCTGGAGGGGGGCACACAATGTCCCTACTGACATTTAGTGGACAAGGAAACAGGACAACCCATACATTAATACATGGAAATTAGTTCACTCTGTCTGATGCATTTTCTAATCAGAGAAGCAAAAGCAAAACAGCCAATAGCTTCATCTCCAAGATCATACAGGACTTTTAGCCAACAAGCCAAGGAGGAATCTGAGGCTCTTTTCCTCAGCATTCAGGACATCATGGGATGAGGATAAAGAGACCAGTGAGCCTCCCCACTCCCCTCTCCCCAAACCGTCACACACACTTCCACAAAGTGTCCTTTAGGCAGACCTTGCTCAGAGGAGGCTGGTGTGAAAAGCCTCAGCTCAGACTCCAGCACAGGAACACACAGGCTGGGAGCTCACACCCCACATACAGGATTCTCATACTCCAGGAGGTTGCAGAGTGAAGTTGGAGAGTCAATGTTCCTCAGGGTCACTTCCAGTGAGACCCCCCTCCTGTCAACAGGAGTTACTCTCTCCTCTTGTCCAGCAGGTGTCTTCTAGGTGGGTGTCTGATGGGACAGAGGGGGGTTCCCTAATGTCCCTATATTCCCATCTAATCCCCCCATGTGACCTCCCTCATTTTACCTTAAACGATTTGACAGACCTATCTCCAACTATGAATAGTAAATATGGGATCAAAACACTCCAAAGCACAAAGGCATGGCAGGACTTCTCTAATGTTTTATTTTGCATATATTTATCTATTAATTTTTATTGAATCACAGTGAGATACGCAGTTACTAAGTTGTCCATTACACAATGGACATACAATGTTTGTCCATTGCTTCAGTCATACAATGTTCCAACAGTCGTCCTTTGGTGTACATTTTCCACCATCTAAGACAAAGGGACTTCTATCCCCACACCGGAAAATGGTGAAAATCTCGCTCCAACTCAGACTCTAAAGGCTTCATACATTCCCAGCACGCCACCGAGCTCCTATCCCTGCTGGCAATAAATAGACCTGTGACTCAGTGTTTCTAAGATCCAGACTGTCTTGTCACTTGTGGGGTCAGTCTGCCACCTAGTGGCCAATTTGTGACAAAGCAACTTAATAGGTTTCAGGTGCTGGTGATCTGTCATTCTGGGGAATCAGAGACTTTCTCCAAGTCTTTGGAACAGAGTGTAAACCCATCACCAAGTCAGACTACATGGAAATGGGCCTTGCTGAAGCTAACTCGTTTGGCTCCTTCAACCTCCATTCTTCAGGAGTCAGTCACAGAGAATGAGATAAACAGACACACAATGAGACAAACAACACATATTCAAGGACTATCTAAGCTTTATGGTGGTGGGGCAGGCCCAGTGAGCTCACAGCAAGTCGCTTATTCAATATGATTTCGCCCCCTCCAAACTGGGTCCCAATAGGCGTGACAGTGTTTAAGTTGACAGAGACACTAAAGACAATTGATGAGCACACTATTCCTTCCAGGATAACCCAGACCTGCTCCGAGAACCACAATGGCTGCACCACGGAGCATGTCTCAGAGCCATGAGCTCTAGACCAAGCCCAGTGAGAAAGGTTCCTATGTTTCCATGAGAGACCTGGGGGGCAAATCAATCAATAATGACACATAATGAATTCTTTGTGTGCTAGGATTCAACTCCAGGATCTCATATATGGTCTTCAACATCACTGGTCCTAAGTGATTTTGATCATGAGATTGTGGTTATGCTTTTCCGGTATGTGACTGACTCTACAAATGATTATAGTGGAGAGACTTAAAATGCAGCTAGTGCATCTCAGTAGTTTTACATTTGACTTAGTATATTTTAAGGCTATGGAGCCATGTCTTAACTGCAGCAATTTCTAATGCTATACACTATATATACTGCGTTGTTGGGATAGCACAGCAGTTAAGGCTTTTGCCTTGCATGAGGCCGACCCAGGTTCGATTCCTCCATCCATCTCAGATAACCAGGCAAGGGACCGAGAGTATTCTGTCCTCCCCCACCACCACGAATTCGATATACCAAAACCAGTAACAAGTCTCACAATAGAAACGTTACTGCTTCGCCCTGGAGCAAATCGATGAACAATGGGAGGATTGTGCTACAGTGCTACAATACACTATACAAACCTGTTGTGGACAATTTCCCAGATAATTATGTGTTTTTAGGAAGCAATAAACAACACCAGGACAAAGAGACTGCCAACTGTTAAGCACAGGATCTGTCGCATGCTCACGTCACGCATCTGGTGCATGGAGGCATTCTTTCTCAGCCTTTATTTAAGCACTGTCTTTCCTAATAAACTTTGGCATATGACTTCGAGTCTACTGCCATGTGGGTGGCTCTGTCTTGGCC